TTCAGTCTGTGTGGGGAAGGGTTAAAAATACCACAGGGGAAACTTGACTTTGTGCTTTACTCAACTAAAGCCTTCACTATTTCCTTTCTGAGAAGAATCTTAAATTGTTGTGTAAGCAACAGCTATTGTTTCCTAAGGTAAGGAAAGAAAGACTAGAGGCTTCCCTAAAAATTTTTAGACCGATTTAAATCCATTTCTGGCTGCAATATCATTATTCTGAGATCTAAAGACTAAAAAGAAGTCTTGTTCGTTGTTCTCTTACAAGCAATGAAAAACCTGCTTGCTGATACTGGCATTGAGCTTGTAACAATAGCAGTTATATCAGTGTAACTGGGATAATATAGCTATACTGGCTTAATATATTAAGATTACCAATCCTTAATTTATAATCTGAATTCTCCATGATCGTAATGAAGAGAGACACAAACTTCTTAAGCAGTTTTCCTGCCCTTTTTAAAATCAATGTTTTGTTTTGTTTTTGAAATCTTGCTTACAGTTCAGCAAAGGAAGAGGCAAAGCTGTTCCTTTGGTGGCATAAAGCTATGCAGTTATCCTTAATTCAGATGGAGCAAGATGATGCCATTGTGATGGAATCTGTCATTCGGACACTGCTGTCCATCCAGGGCAGGCAGAGTCAGCTGGCTGAGGAGAGACTCACTTCTGGAATACTTGGAGCTATTGGGTTGGGCAGGAGGTCTCCTTTGTCACCCAGGTAGGAATTGAAGCTGCAGTGAATTAAATAATACATTATGATTTGTCATATTAAAACAAACAAAAAACCCCATAAAGAAAAGCTGCAGCCTGGATCCAGACAGCACAGGGGAATCTCAAAAGATGTTCTGAATCCCAATTGCCCTCTATATCTCTGAAGTTTAGACAGAAAAACTGTAATGAGTGTTTGAATGTGGTTAAGAAATGTGTAAGAACTTCTTGTTCAAGCCTGTAGTGCGTATATAAAGAAAGTGCAGCTGTGATTCTCTGGCATAATGTTCATTTCTAGTGAAGTTGTGGTTGACATCACAAGAATTTTGTACAACCACACATGCACATTGCCTTTTCTGTCTGGGCTTTGAGATGCTGCAAAATATTAAGAGAAAATCGAACATCTCCTTACTTATTACTCAGTTTGTTTTCTAAAAAACATGCTTGGGTCAGATGTTACCTTTCGTATGTATGGTAGCTTGTATGTATGATGTACCTGTAATGTGTATGTTACAATGATATTTTTTCCTTAATACATTGCAAATGATCTTCTGAAGCTGTTAAGTATGTTCCTCATGCAGGAGATCTCTCATGGGATAGAACTTGTAGTTTATCTGCTGCTGAGGACTTCACAATTGACACCACTTTCTCTCTCTGCCCTCTATCCCTCTGCAAGGTTTCGGCTGGTTGCCCGCAGTTTGTCTACCTTCATCCTGGTGCAGATTCCTGCAGAGGGTCAGGTCCGCCTGAAGGCGGGCTCAGAACCAAAGCTGACACAGAAGGCCCAGCAGGTAGTGTGTGCCAGTCTTTGGCTTCTTAAATTATCCTCTTCCTATGCTACAGAGACAAGTTAAGTTGGAAATTGTAGTGTTATTAATGGGAGCAAAATGATACCTTGATAAAAGTCAACTGTTCCTATCAGGCTATTCTTAATGAAATCTTTAAGTGTGTCACATTTTGTGTTTTGGTGTGGTTTCTCTAAAAACATGTCTTGAGTTTGTGAAGTAAACATTGGAGCAATCATTGCAAGCCTTGGGAGAGCACTTGTTGTGCTTGTGTTGGGATGCAACAACTTGAAAGAGGAGGTGGATTGAAGTAATACATGTGACTATATTCTATGAATATTTAGTTCAAAATATAGCAGGCTCTTTAGTACATAATGATCTTCCAGTGGAATCTTTCTTATGATGTCTAGTGAACTGGTTTGTTGTGGGCCAAAATGCAAACAGCTAACATAATTTTTTCCTTGTGTCTATAGGCACTGAGTGCTCTTGAAGCAATGGCATCAAACAAACAATATATGGATTTTCAAGAGCAGATCTCCCAGGCTTCTCTGTTCATCAAGCATCCAGAACATTGTCTTCGAGATGGCAATAATCTTTTGGCTCTCCTTGTAAACAGTCTGTACCCAGAAGTGCATTATTTGGACTGCATACGGTAGCAGCACTGAGCTCACAAAAGGATCATGCAGTGTTGACAATTCTGGTTTACATTTAAAGTTGTTCTTGCACAAGTAATTTTTACTTTAAGAGTTCCATTTGAAGTAAGTCATAAGTGTAAATAGGAGCTGCACACTGGCAAATTTTATCCTCTTTGAGGTTTTTGGTTTTTTTTTTCCTTAAAGCTCTTAGGATATTTAGGCCTGTGGAATTGTTCAGTTTTTATCAACTGAAAACAGTTGAATATGTTCCTGTGCAAGGTGCACGTCTACGGGGATACATGTACAAATCATTAGACAGCAAAGACCATTTTTGTTTCTTGTAGCATCTTTTTTTTTCTGTGCCTTTTTCGTTTTCCCGTGTGTCATGATTTGAGCCAGTGCAAAGTGAATGGGGGGTTGTGTATTAAACAGTTTTTGACTCTCTTAGTAGGATACCTCTAAAGCTTATGTGAGTGTGTGTGTGTGTGCAGGGAGATTTGTCCCTGCATTCCAACAGGTGGTATTTTAAATTTTGACTCTTTTGATATTCTGCAGAACTCTGTAGTTTAAAGGCATGCCTACAATCTTCTCCCATGTCTGTAATTACAGACTGAAAATTGAACTAAAGAACTTTGCTTTTGCCTAATTCCTAAATATTATTGAGTCTGCCTCTATACTGGTTGATTAAACAAAAGTGATTTATGGCCATGTTGTTTCTAAGTCAGGTGATGTCAGACTGATTTTTCTGCTTCCTCAGTGTCCAGGAGGGAAGCAGTTATGTTCTTGCTGGATAATAATCCTTAATTCTGAAAATCTGGTTGTTTAGGAATAGAGGTTTAGTAAGTGGACACCACTGAAGTTCATTGTTCCTAGTTGGGCATGACGTGGCAGAACTTCAGATGACACTGTGAAAAGCTATTTAGCTTGTATTAAATCACTTTGTTAAAATTGTATTATGAGCCTGTAAATCTATTGTTTCGGCTGAATGATCACTGTTTTTGTTGCTTTGTCTGATGTTGCACCTTTTCTTCAGTGGAAGCAGAAAGTGAATTTCCCTGCTTGCTCGTGTAACGTTGGCCTTTTCATGGCTGATCTACTTGAGGTAGCCCAAGGTCCTACATTCTCAACCTGTGCACCTCTACAAAGGAAGGAACAGTGAAAGCTTCTTCTCTTTCTGCATTAATTGTGCCTTTGTGTTTAGAACATGTAACCGTGTTTAAGCATTTGTTCAGGTCACATGGGGATAATAGATATTCAATAATGGATTATTTTGCAGTGTTGCTTTTAACTGTGATTTTGGTGCTGGAGAGCGAACCAACTTTTTTCTTCTTGACAAATTTGGCTAACTGTGCCAGCTGTGTCATCAGATCACCCACATCTGTGTGTGGTTTTAGGCACACAGATTGAGCAAAGAACTGTATGTATGTATATATACATCTCTCTATATGCTAACCAGGTAAGGGTGCAGCATGATATCTAACAGACTCCTTTGGGAAAGTGATGCCTGGAAGAATACGTTATTTTGCTTTTTCAACCCCTGCAGAGAGTTAAAAGCACTGGTTTATTAGATTCAATGTTATTGATCAATTGCATAAAAAAAATGTGAAGAATTGAGAGATATATGTATTTGACATGCACTTTTGAAAGAAGGTATTGTTTCAGCTGTTGAGTTTTTACAAGTGTGTTTATAACATGCTGTGTCTGCAAAAACAAACAAACAAACAAAAAAAACCTGCAAAATAAAAAAAGAAAAATGGGTAATTTGTGACAAATTTGTGGTGTTTTCAACTTGCTGGAAGAGATAGTATCTGGTATTACATGCTTGTTCTCAGAGATTAAAGTATGATGGGGGAATGCCATGCAGGTTCTTAGTTGGTGGAGGCTTGGAGAATCTTGTCTTTGATGTCATGATTTTAACATGCCTGTGACGCAACTGTTTGGTTTAGTGGCCAGACCCCACGAGAAAGCTCATCTGTATAATGACAGAAATAATGCTTCTCTGTTTTAGCAAGAGTTCACTGAGCTCTGTGATGGTTGTAGGTTTGTACACAGGTCTTTCAGCACTCACAGCTGACCCAGACCATGCGATCCGGCTTTTGTTCCAAACGAGGATGAAGCAGGTAATGCAGAGGGAAATAGACAAAAGCCATACCTTCAGTGCCTGCCCATGAGTTTCCTCACATATAAATGTCCACAGCTGTTGTGATACACATTTGCTGGCAGCAGATAATGTGTGAGATGCAGATTACATACAACAGGGCACACTTTCTGCATAGCAGGTTGTTATGGAGCATGACATCAGATGCTCCTATTTGCAAGTAGGACCACAGGCTTGATGGCAGTTGAAGCAGAAGGCTTGTGCTCCCAGTCTGGGATGCTTCTTACCAGAAATGAGATTGTTAGAAGAGCTTTGGAGCTGCTGCACTGGGATGGTCACAGGAAGCATTGAATCCAATGGTAAAAGCTCATGTCACTCCTTTTTCTCTCTTGTTTTTTTCTTTTGGTTCTTTTTCCTCCTATATTCCAATCTGCTGCTCTTTGCAGCCCTCTCCTGGAACTTTGTCTACCAGACCAAACATGACTTGTGCTGTTCTGTCCCATAAGCTCAGTTCTGTTCTCTTTTTGGAGTGTATTCACACTGGATATGTCTGGGAATGGTCAATTTTTTTTTAATAAATAGTGTGAAGTGAAGTCACTAAGAGGTGGTCAGGATCTTTTCATGTAGCATGGAGATGAAAACTGTTTAGGAGTAATTTTTTCTTTTTTAGTGACATGAAAATTGTTTTCTTTGTCTTCCCTGCTTGGGGAAAGAGGTTGATGGACAGGACAACATGGGTGCCTTGGTTTCCAGTTCTCATCAAAATGACTCTTCCTGCTTTAATATGAGGCAAATACAGTATGGTGTTTTATCCAAAAATACCCGTAACGAGAAGCCATTTTTCACCAGGAAAAACTGCAACACAAGATGAGACCAACTACAACTCTTGAATGTGTCTGTTACAGAACTTTGTGACACAGGTTAGAAACATGCAGGTTGGTTAGAACTGGCATCTCTCACATTTTCTGCTTTTCCAACTCCATCATTTCTTCATTTTCTCTCTCTTTTTTTTTTTTTTTCCCAATCTGTCTTTGCTTTAAAGTCTTGTGTTAATTTAAGTCTCAACAGAGATGGAAAACATGCACCTACAAGGCTCACTTGACCCGTGCATCAGTCAACAGCAGTCTTATGTTCAGTGGGAAAAGGCACCCTAAGATGATCCAGCTTTGTATGGAGCAGACAGGGGTTCAGACCATGCAAGTGGGTATGGGTGGGACAGCCCAGGTCTTCAGCTGCATCTTGCTGCAGGTTGTTCTGTTGGCAGGCTGTGGCTGCTGTCGCATCTGCGGTCAAAGTTCTCATAGGTGGAGTCCTGTGGCTGTGGCCTGGTGATGGAAAAAGGGAAGCTTTCATCTGTGTGTTTATAAATACAGTCGGTTGTGCAGTATTGTGTAGATACTAAATCAGCAACACCATGCTTCTGCTAATAATTATTACAAATTTAACTCTAGGATTAAATTCCCTATTGCCTCTTGGGCTGCAGCCTGATGCTGTGCACGTCCTCCTGAGATGAATGAATTTCCAGGGTAAGGTGGGGGAAACATATCACAGATAAGTAGGGCTGGAAGGGAGCAAATCCAAGCATATGCTAGCTTCATATACAGTTTCTGTCTGTTTAACCTAAGGGTTGTCTTACATTTTTACCCATCTGTCATGAGTTTGACCCCCACAGATGTCAGGAGTCTCCTTGCTTTGGGTATTGGGACATGCTGGTGGTGCTGTGGGAGGATGGTTCAGATTGTAGCAAGGCAGAGGTTTGGACCCAGCCACATCTCAGCTGGCTCTGACATGGACTATTTGGTATCTCCATACCTTCTTCCACGCTTGGCAGAACACATCAGTTCTGGCATAGGTTCTGGTCTGGTGATTGGCAGCCCTGCTCATAGCAGGGGGGTTGAAATAATGATCATTGTGGTTCTTTTCAACCTAGGCCATTCTATGATTCTATAATAGGCTCTCATTCTGCCCAAACAGAAACTGGAATTCTTATGCTAGTTTAATGTGATATCCTAACACACTGCTACATTCATGTCTCTCCAGGTTCCTTGTCCTTGAGATTTGTTCTCAGTTGCCCCCCAAGCTTTGGTTCTTTACATCAGCTTGTTTGACTATCAGCCCAATCCTGTCTTCATCCCAGGAGCCTGCTATGAGGCCAGAAATTGTAGCCAAGACAAGAGAGGACAAACTGTACTCCTCTGCTTGTCATCTCTACCCTCCTGCTGGATAACATGAGTAGAAGGTGGGGTACTCTTACCGGGCCAGGATGGATGGAGCGGTGGAAGGACCTGTTAAATGAGAACAGATATACAAGTTAGCAAAATGATCTGGGGAGCCAGGACTGATTGAGAGCCATAGGCAACATGCACTAGAGGATAACTGATACTCTGGTGAATGGTTCACTGTTACCAGGATAGGAATCAACTTTGCGGCCTGAGTCGTGGAGCCCTGTGCACAGCAGGGATACTGGCCTGAACAGGTGTAAAATGGGATTACACTGCTGACACTGGGAAGCATGCAGGTGGAGATGCTCTGGGGAGCAAGAAGGATGCTGATTCCAGGAGATCTAGCTGCTGTGTGGGATGCAGTGGAAGTAAATCCTGCCCATGGGCTGGAGAAGAAGTAGTAATTAGTCTGTTTAATAAAAATCTGATTGTGTAGGCAGCAGGTTCGTTACTAATTGCACACCTGTTGATTTATTAACCTTTTTCACTGGGCACAGGGAAGCTCCTGCTTGCTCTGTTTAAAGATCCCATCCTGAATGACACTTGGCATCTGCAGGCTGTAACTAGCCAGCCAGGAGGTCCCTCTTATTTGTTCTTAATATTCCACTATGCATGTCATTTTCCTAGGGTGGAAATGAAGGTAATAACAAACAGACTTCCCCCCTCCCTTGTCTGATTTTATCTGCTGCATCACATCGTGCGTTACCAGTCTGATGTTGGAAATAGAGAAACGTACCTCTGGGGAACAGGGTCAAGCCCAGTATCACCAGCAAAACAAGGACCTTAATTCCCAGCGGCACAAAAATTAGGATCAGGAAAAAGGAGCTGTTGGATGCCCTGAATTTGTAGAAGTAGACTGTCCCCTCCGCTCTCCCGTGGCTGTTGACAGCAGTGCAGGTGTATTTGCCATCGTGTGTCAGGTACTGGAGCTCCTTGGTGACGCGGTGGTTTGTGTTAGTGACCGAGGTGAGGTTGCTGGAGTGGGGACTGGTCCATGTCAGGGCAGGTGCTGGTTCACCCTCAGCAGTGCAGCGGGCTTTGAAGGTGTGATCCCCATTGGAACTGACCGTGATGTTAATGATCCTGGGGGAAGCTGTGGAAATTACAGGAAAAGATGGGGGATACATCAGATTTCAATGATGGGTTTGATGCACAGTGTAACAAGATAACATCAGCATCAAACTTCCTTATTCCTTGGACCCTGGCCTCCAGAACACACAAGGAAGGATCTGCTCACGTGAGCCTTTTCCTTGGTGTCTCAGGCTTGTCAAGGACCTCTCTGAATGGTAGTAAAATCCATCTCAGGGGATGCACAAAATTTAGAGGTACTGTTGAACTTGCAGCCTTTGGATTTGTTCTCTAAAGAAGCAGGGCAGACATGAAAAATCTTGGCTTTCCCAGTGGTTTTCTTCTGGATCTGTGAACTATTTCATACACTTAGTTCTCAGTAGCATTGTAAAGACTGAGAGAAACAAAATGAGCATCCTCATACGGGAAAAGCAGGTGCTCAGAATTGATTTCTTTCATCAGGCAAGACAGCATGGGTCATTGTAATGCAAGAAGACCGATCCATATCATAGATCACAGAATTGTTTGAGTTGGAAGGGACCCTTAAAGGTCATCAGGTCCCACTCCCTGCAGTGCACAGGGACACCCGCAGCTCCAGCAGTGCTCAGAGCCCATCCAGCCTGACCTTGGGGTCACCAGGGATGGGGCACCGACATCTCTCTGTGCAGCCTGTGCCAGGCCCTCGCTATGAGAACAAGCTGCGTTGTGTATCTGTGTGTTTTGGTGTACAAGCTGACCCCTAAAGAATTATTTAATTCCTGCCCTTTGTACTGCAGGGATCTGTTCCCAAAGCGGAGAGCAGTGGGGAAACTGGGCCGATGCAGCACCTGAGCTCTGCTTCTCTCATCATCAGCACAGCTTGTTGTTGCCCTGCCAGACCAAGCTCTCTGTGGGATATTTCAGATCTGCTCCACAGAGGCAGAGCCCTGACTGCTCAGCACTTCTCTGCAGTACACCAACTCCTCCTCAGGCCTCGCCTGGCTGCCTGCAGCGCACAGAGTCTGTGAGGCAGTTTCACTTCACAGACAAAACCGTCCAACATGCAGCGTCTGTGTGCTGTTGGTTAAGGTATGAGCCCACTCCTGAGGCCGCGTGGGTGTCCTTGCTCTTGCTTGATCAGTGAGGACACCCTCTGAGAGGGGCCAAGCACTCTCCTTCACTACAAGCACAGCACGGGGGAAGCCCTGAGATGGAGTGCAGAGGCAGAGTGCTGGAAACCCACCTCCAATTGCTTAGCTCTCTGTCCCTTCTCCAGGCTGAACAAGCCCAGCTCCCTCATCCTGTGTTTGCAGGAGAGGTGCTCCAGCTCTCTGAGCATCTTCATGGCCTCCTCTGGACCCGCTCCAAAAGCTTTGCATCCTTCTTGTACTGGGGCCCCCAGACCTGGACACAGTGTTCCAGATGGGCCTCACCAGGACAGAACAGAGGGGGACAATGCCCTCCATGCCCAGTGAAGCTGTGGAAGATGTGGAGCACAAGTCTTGTAAGGAATGGCTGAGAGAACTGAGATAGTTCATTCTGGAGAAGAGGAGGCCCAGGGGAGACCTGACCACTCTCTGTAGCTCCATGAAAAGAGGTTATGAAAGGAGGGAATTGGCCTCTTCAATCATATAACAGTGGTGGGACAAGAGATAATTTCCCCAGTTTGTGCCAGGTAGGATATTAGGAAAAACTTCTCCAAAGAGTGGATAGGCATTGGAATGGGCTGCCCATTGGATGGAGTCCCTACACCTTGAAATGTTCTAGGAATGTTTATAAATGTAGTACTTAGGGACATGGTTTAGTGGGCAGTATTAGTGGTAGGTGGGTGGTTGAGCAAAGTGATCTTGGAGGTCTTTTCCAGCCTTAATGGTTCTCTGATTCTATGATTCAGGATTCAAATGTCATTTCCATGCAGATGTCCATCCTTAAGAAGGGTTTCTTACCTTGTGCTGCCACAAGGATGCTGTGCAACGCCTATTCACTATTCACTGTGATTTCTCATCCCAAGGCTGCATGGATCTCTCAGAGGGACAGAATCGTATGCACCGAGCTAAGTGTGACTGGGCTGAGATGCTGGTGCCATCCAGGCCTGCTTGTGCTTACATCTCCTAACGCCTGCTCAGCAGCTGCATTCTCCAGCTTAAATCCTGATGAAGAGGCCATCTGCAGCCTTGCTCCAGGAGCTGCAGACCTCAGCTTCTCACTCTGCAGCCTGCACTGATCCCATGCTGCAGGGACAACATGCAAGACTCACCAGGCTCTCACATGGGCAGCCACAACCCATCTATATAACCCTATATATAAATCTCCTGCAGTGTTTAGCTCCCGTTCCCTTCCTTGCAGTGTGCACATCACTTCAGGCTGGAAGCCTGCAGTGAGTACTCCTTGCCAATATGTTACAAGTCCTCCTCAGGGCTGACTAGACCTGGAAAAGCCAATGTTTTGGAAGAGCAAATATCTCGGATAACCTTCTGTTACTATCTCATCACTTTCCACATCTCACGGCTCTCCAGTTTCCCTCTGGGGTGGCTTTGCCTCCCTGGACGCTTGATGCTGTCTTACCAATCAAATGCAGCTTTATCCCATTCCTGCTTTCATACTTGTCGTGGATGTCCCCAGAGAACTCCACACGGCAGAAGTACCTCTCACTGTCACTCCAGGTCAGGTTGTCGATCCTGATGGAGAGGTCTTTGTGCCGGGGGTTGCCGAAGAGTTTGTATTTGTTTTTGTAGCTGATGGCGGTCTTGCAGAGTTCACTGGCACTCTGGCTGGTGCACTTAAACACTACAGTGCCATTGTACGGCTCTTTGATCCTCCAGATGGCAGTGAGGGTACGGTCAAAGGTTTTGTAAGGGTGTGTGAAGGTGCAAGGCAGAATAACCATCTTTCCAAGTTCACCAGTGACGTCAGATGGGACGTGAATGGACCAGCTATTGCACTGCACGCCTAGAAGCAACAACAGATAATCAGGACTGATTTACACAGGGCGTTAAAGAGGGAAATTGATCATCCTTCTTGTCCCGTCTCTCTCATTCGTCAGAAAATGGATGCCCTTTTTTTCCACCCAGGATGGTTCCCTGTGCGGGGGACTTGCAGGTGGTTACTCAGCCCACTTACTGGGGCTGGGTTTGGTACCAGCCTGCAACAGAGCTGAGGGGGCTGCCTCGCTCATATTGAAAGCAATTTAATTTTCAAGCAGGTCTTGCCATGTCAGCTGACCTGTGGATGTCCACTGTGAAGTTGTGTAACATGAGTGTTTGCAGTTGGAAGATGTTTGTGTGCTTGCAGACGCACACTTCCTAATGCATGTATGTGTACATACATATATATAATATACTCAGAGATCTGGTGGCTTCAAGCACAAATCCAGTTAAATGCAACCACTCTGTGTTTGAGTGCATGCACACAGGAGGATGCATAGCAAGCAGCTCCGTGTTAACAGAGCAGGTTGACAACACGTGGACTCCAGCTGCCTGCATCTTCCCAGACAGGCCTTGTCCTGGCCTCACAGGAGGGGAATTTCTGGGTTTTCCAGCCAGGATGTCATGAACGGTTGGAATTTGACCACTGTAAATCCTTGTCATGGTAAATGGTCACAGTAAATCCAAGCCATTGCCATCAGACCCAGTTTCATCCGTTCTGTCTGGTGATGAAAACAGTCTTCACCTGAATGAATGTTCTCCAGCCTTGAAATATATCAGGAAAACTCAGTGTCTCATCATTTCCCTTCTCCAGTAACCAATAACACCAACAAATAGCAATTGTAGGCAGCTCTTTCTATACAGATACCTATGTCTATCAACTGTATTTCTGTCTGCAACAGCTGCAGCACCAGACTGTGGTTTCAGGAATGTCTGTGGCTACATTCCTGTCTCATATAACTTACTTGGTGGCTTTGTTAAATCAGGAGGTTTATCCTCCACAGTTGAGAATAATTGGAGAAAAATGTAAATAATTTACCTCGTGTAAATAGATTGCTGACTTTGCTGTGATCTGTGGACATTCATCTGTCAGATTGATCAAGTAAAGGCTAAGTTAAGATTGGTGCTTGTGTTTATTTCTGCTGTCCATAATATTTGAGAAATATCCCAGTGGCTGTGCAGGCAGTATTAATGTTCTTGTGTGTTGCACAGTGGATAAAGGCTGATGTAGGACTGGTTCTCCTCCATTAAGTTATTTAGCTGGAATTTGTGCCAAGCCAATATTTTAATTACTGAAGTCTGGAGTTGTGGTGCCTTTTGTCACTCACTGTAATGATGTGATTACCTTCTGCAGCTTGGATTATCTACTGTACAAGGCAATATGGCCATGGGAACTCCAAGAAGCTCATGGGCTCCTGGAATGAATGCCCCATTGATAAAACCAAAGAACTCTAATTATATCTACTAGTTGTCAGTGGAAAGGATTTGAGTTCATGATAACCAGATCAAGAGCTGGAGCCCACCACAGACATTAAACTTGCTCAGTCAAAAAGTCTGAAGGTATATTTAACCAAATCCTGTTGACTTTAATAAAACTTAAGTATATACTTCAAGTTAACCATGGGCTCAAGTGCACGGTGGAGCTGGAGCAAATTGTATGAATTGCATATCAACTCTGAGGAACATGAAACAGTATGAAACAGGGCTTCTGAGTGATGAGAAAGATGAATTTCCTGCACGAGTTATAAAAACAGAGGAAAAAGGGAAAAAAAAAAAAAGCCCTTATCAGACGGAACTGTAGCAAGCTCAGAACTCACCCTTCTTGAAGACGGAAAGGACGAACAGAAGAAACAAACTGTACTCTCTCATGATGGTTGAGGTTCTCCACTGGGGTGTATCAGCAAACCAGAACTGTCTCTGCTACATCTGCACTGCTGATCTTGTCATCACAAAAGGTTTTTCCAGAGATGGAAGAAGCTGTGGTTTTCCTCTCCTTGGAGGGAATGAGTTGTCCAGCTGAACCGACTCTGGTTATATTAATAGTTTTGTGGTCAGTCATGTGAAAAATACAACAGAGAGAAGCAGTGTGTTGCCGTTTTCCAGCTGAAGGAAAGGGTCTTAAAGATGGGGCTGCAAGCACCCACTCCATGAGGGTTATGGGATAGACAGGATGTTTGGGGCTTTCAGGTGCTCACTGGTCTGGAGGAAGTTCTTGCAGTCTGCACCAGAAGATAGCAAGCATGACCCACCTACAATTTGTTTGAGGCAGTGGAGCCTGCAAGCCAGTGGTGCTTTACCACTTGCACATGATGTTTGTCATCATCCCTACATGTAAATCCCCCTGAGCAGGCACAGGGGCAGGGCTGTGTGGTCTGGCTGGTTGAGGTATACTGCTCTGTCCATGTTTCTGTGACTCTGATTGCTACTATCTCATTGCTACTATTCTGCACTGGAGGTGAACTGAGCTTCCTGTCTGGAGTGCTGCATCCAGGCCTAGAGCCCCCAGCACAAAGAGGATGTTGGAGTGGGTCTGGAGGAGGCTATGAAGATGCTCAGGGGGCTGGAGAACCTCTGCTAGGAAGGCTGAGAGAGCTGGGGCATGGATGGGCATTGTCATCTACTGGGAGGCACCCAGCCCATGGCAGGGTAAGTCTGAGTGGGCTTTAAGGTCTCTTCCAACCCAATCATTCTAAACCAGGATGCTGCTGCTGAAACAGAACATGTGGAGCAGGATTAGAAAGATAGGGCCTTCATAGGGCAGACCAAAAATCCACCATGCCTGATAGTGTCAGCCTGAGAGGGAGCATGAGCAGGTAGTTATGGAAAAGCTATCGGAACAAGTAAGGATGCTATAACAGCACTTCTATGATTCTGAAGTCCCAGCCATTCTCCCCTCCCATACAGTGACCCTGAGATGTTAAATTTAACCCGGGAGCATATACTCCCCATCAGGTCTTAACATGAGATTTGCTGCCCTCCGTTCGCACCATAGGAAGGGGTGATGTCTGACTGCCGCTTATCTCGGCAGCTGTAGGGCTCTTCTTCCCTCATCTCCCAGCGCAGCACCGGCTGGGCTGCTCCTGCAGCAGGCAGCAGTGGGTGCACGGCCGCTGGAGGGCTCCCCGAGCCCAGGGAAGAGGATGCTGCTGGGCTCCCAGGGATTGCGATTCCTTCCCTTCTGTACTGGGCACACGAATTCTTACACTGCTTTACACCCTCCCCGTGTTCCCATCTGAAATCTCCGTGCAAATACTTCCAGAGCTGGGACGCGGAGATGTGGCAATGTGTCAAAATTAACACAGAATCGTAGAATGGTTAAGGTTGGAGGGGACCTTAAAGGGAATTGAGCTCTGATCCCTGCCATGGGCTGATTGCCCATCACTCAACCAGAACGCCCAGCCTGGACTTGGATGCCACCAGAGATGGGGCAAGTTCATTGTTCCAGGCCCTTACTCTCTGGGTAAACATTTCTTCCTAACATCTGACCTAAATCTCCCCTCTTCAGGTTTAAAGCTGGTCCTCCTCCTGCTTGTAAACTCCCTTAGTTGCTCTCCAAATGCCTGCAAAGGAGAAGGGTTTTCTGTTAGAGTTGTTGGAGGAAGCTCTGAGTACCTCAGTGTAATTGGCTGCAGCATGGATCTCTCGCTGCCCTGCAGAGGAACCTGAGGTCATGAGACAGAAACAGTAAACGAGGAACCTGCACCCCAGAATCAACAGTTCCGTGCCTTTTCTGCCTTCTGCATTTTTCTTTGTGTGCTATTTGATTTTATCTTTTTGTGAGGTGAGATTGTTGCTACTGTCTCTCAGCCCTTGGCACAGAGGATCTCAGTGGATTGGTGCAAAAGATTAAAGGGAAGTCTGTGCTCAAAACGTATTTTCAGTGTAAGGAATAGTTGCAGCCTTGATGTCATACTCTAATATCTCCTGGTCAAGTATCTGGTAAATCAATGCATTCCTGGACACCCTGCATGCTGTTAGAGTTGCATCTTGCCTAGTTTAAGTGGCTTACTAAACCTTTGTTTTTAAAAAGAGACAGCAGGAATACCTTCATCTTCTCTCTCACTCTTTTCAGCAAATTTCATTGAGTTCTGCCATACACATAGTCTTTGTTTATTAAAAACTCTGACAATGCAATGTGTGTGAGCAAGAAACCATCTCTACTATTCAACCTCTTATTTCCACTAAGCCAATGGTTTAGCAGAGGGTTGGACTCAGTGATCTCTTGAGGTCTCTCCCAACCCTTTTGATTCTGTGATTCTATGCAGATTTGGTAAACAGGTAAGCAGGGGAAAGATGTTTGTTACAAAAACTATTCTGCAAACAGTAGTTTTTCCTCTCAGGCTGTGATTTAGACTTTCTGGTAGGCACTGGATCACAGCAAAGTAAAATGGACATCATTTTCTTGTTCTTCACTCCTGTAAAATGCTTGTTGGAGCAGATCCATGGGGAGTAAGGGAGTTTGACTCAATTTTCTCCTCGTGTTACCAGTGTTATCAGTTTTAGGAAAATTCACTGTGAGTGATTCTACTTACAAATCCATCTTTCAGAGCAGTATTTTGCTCATGTAGCTTGTTTAAATGCCATGGCATACATAAAGCCATCTTGATTTTCAAGGCATGGTTGAGGTTAGGTATGAAGAAATGATCCTTGTCTTCTGTTGATTCTGTATGATTCAAAACCTGTTACCTACGATTTTTTCTTCCAGTTCTGTGCTTAAGTGGCATCTAAGCAAGTTGCTTCTGGTCTAGCACCAAAACCAGTGTGCCTTCCATATTCATAGAATCATTGAATCATTAGGTTGGAAAAGGCCTCCAAAGTTCCCAAACCCAACCCCAACCCATCCTGACTATGCCCACTATCCATGTCCCCAGGTGCCACATCTCCACAGTTTTTGAACATCCCCAGGGATGGAGACTTCACAACATCTCTGAGCAGCCTCTGCCAGTGCCCTACCACTCTTTCTGAGAAATCCTTCCTAATATACAATATACATCTGGTCCCAAAGACTGTGGATAGTCTTCACACCACTCAAGGACCAAACTGGAGTCATTTCTTCCCCCCTCCCTCCCTTTGAGTCTTAATTCCAGTTCCAATGCTTTCTACTTTGATTACTCCAGCAGCATCTACGAATCCTGCCCCTAATCCTTCAAGTGTGTCAATCTGCACACATTTTTATGATTTGTCAGATCTGGCACCCTTTCCTGAAGGGATTGGGCCTATGAAGTAGCTAGGAGGTGAGACTGGGGACCCAGAGGAATTTTCCTTCCTTCTAGTTTCTACTGGCAGGGACACGTAAAAGGTGGGTCATGCTGAGCTTCTTGGAGTTGTTATGGGCTCTGCCATGCATCCCTTTGGTCCTCAAACCAACAGCAAAGTACCTAGAGTGCAAGGAAAGTGCAAGGGGAGGGAGGGATGAAGGGCATCAAGCCAGGAGCTGTTCCTGTAGGTGACACTGATCCTGCTTCTTGGCACCAAGTGAACGTGTAGAACACAGTCATCACTACGTCAAGCTTCCTCTGATCCAATTTGAAAGTCTTGCAGGTTCACTCACTTGCCTGTGGTTTTTGCTTAGCCTATTACAAATGCTCCTGACCTGAGAAATTCTCCTGCTTGCCATTTCGTCACTGCTACGTTTTGGACTGTTCCACTGCCAAAGCTGTGGCAGTGAATTGATGAACAGCTATGGGCTGCTGGTGAGCCCCTGTCACCTCTGCTAAATGTCAGCTGCTGAAAGTCAGGTGTGTACTAGGATACTTCTCACCTAACAGGAAATTGCTGTAGGAAAAACAGCTTGTATCTGAATATGGACAGAATGTCATGGATGGAAGAAGAAATAGCATGCCACTGTAAATGCCTCTGTTGACTTCTACATGTTCACATATTGAGATGGAGAACGTCTCATCTCTCAGACCAGTGTGTTTCTTTCCCCTTTCAAAGCTCCATGCTCTGAGTAGCAAGAAGTGGGCTTGGAATGCACATATTCAGGCAGGAACATGGTTTATTCAGCCTCGCCCATACCAATAGGACAAAAATTATATAAAAGAATGAGCCTGAGGCTATGAGAACTAACATCCACCTTCTCCAAGTAGCTCTAGAGCTCAGGATAACACAAGCTTTTATTACAGACTTGCAGATGTTAAAGTGGAATTGCCTCATCTCAGCATAGGCCAACACGGTATTACCTGCATTGTTTTCACCAATTTCCTCCTGAACTTTATTCCAAAACCTGAATCTGACATAGCATCAAGTTACCATGAATGGTAGAAATGAGTGAGGGAGGGCACAGTGCCATGAGCCCTCCCAGGGAAAACCTGGGAGGAAAGGTGAGATGTGGACGTCAGTTCAAGCTATTGAGGTAATGAATGAGCTGTACCCAAAAGCAATGTTCTTTGACAGCCTTGACCTGGTTGTCCCAGAGTTGCCTTCTGGACTGGACAGGCAGGAGAAGTGGACCCATGTGAACCTAATGAGGTTCAATAAGGCCAAGTCCAAGGTGCTGCACTTGGGTTGGGGCAATCCCAGGTGTTTATACAGACTGGGGGAGGATCTCTTTGAGAATGGTCCTGTGGAGAAAGACTTGGGGGTCCTGGTAGATGAGGAGCTGGATATGAGCCAGCAGTGTGTGCTTGCAGCCTGGAAGGCCAGCTGTGTTCTGGGTTGCATTAAAAAAGGGGTGGCCAGCAGGGAGAGGGAGGTGATTGTCCCCCTCTACTCGGCTCTTGTGAGGCCCCATCTGCAGTGCTGCGTCCAGGCCTGGGGTCCTCAGTTCAGGAAGGATGTGGAGCTCTTGGAGCAGGTCCACTAAGATGATCAGAGGGCTGGAGCACCTCTCCTATGAGGAAAGTCTGAGGGAATTGGGATTGTTTAAC